GATTGAGGAAGTCACACTGAATTCGCAAAGTATTCTTCAGATCTTTTCCCTTTCTGAATTGTAATTCTTCAGGAATTCATAGAAGAATACAATAAGAATGATTGAGAAAGTAACATCGAATTCACAAAGTATTCTTCAGATCTTTTCCCTTTCTGAATTGTAATTCTTCAGGAATTCATAGAATACAATAAGAATCACTGGGGAAATTACTGTAAATTCGGAAAGTATTCTTCAAGTTTTCTCCTTTATTGTAATTCTTCAGGAATCCATAGAAGAATATAATAAAAATGATTAGGAAAGTTGCATGCAAAATAATGGACTTCTGAGAAATACTTCAAGGCAAATTGATTGTAGCTGATTCTCCAAGAATTCTTTGGATATTTAGTTTTTTAATTCTGCAGGAGTTTTTTTCTTGAAAATAAAATCTGTGAACTCATGTTCACCTTTGTGCTATCTGGGAAAGTATAGATAAGTTTACAATGGCTAGGACATTATAATATCGATGTTATGCAACTGTTAGTTGGCGTTTGTAATCGCTGTTGCTCTCTAACTTCGGATGCCCTGACCATCGACAGCAGACCCGGTCTCGCCACTCTCCGGGAAAAGGGGAACAAACGAATCGGTTCCCCTCCCCGGGGTCTCGTAAAATTTTAGAAGACCGTTCGTGGCGCCTGGTTGTGGTGCAAGGTCGAAGAAACTGGTACGCCGGCCGCTGCGAGGCACTCCGCTCCGATGTGGGTCATCGTCTAACTGTTCTACGTACCGTTTCTCCGCCCCTGACTTTGTATCCTTCGACGACAGCAGCAGCAGCAGCAACGCCAGCAACAGCAAACGAACACCTACACGATGATGCCTCCCTCCCCCCGTGTTATCTCACGCTACGTTATATCGTACGGTAATATTAGCGGCGATGCGATCGCAACGAGAACTCGATAGCGTGCACGCCCTTCTCACGCTTGCTCAGAGGGGATCATCCATATGATGGATCACCAAACCGTCGCGCGAGATACCAAGCATCGCTTTGGAATCACGCAGCTAGCGTTTATTCCTACTTAATTATTTTATGAAATAGAGCGGGCAAGCGGGAATATCGACCGTGGGCTTGGTTAGTTATCTATCATTCAGCAGTTTTCAGTGACCTCTCGATATTGAAAACTGCAGCAGCTGAATTTCATATATTATTACATTATACGTATTTTACATTTTTATATTCTACTTATACATATTTATATATTATTACTGAAATAAAACTTCTTGTTGATCCAACTGGCAATATATTAGTTAAATGTTACATTTGGTACGACGTTTCGACGCAAGTGTCAGGTCTTTATCAGGTAACCGAACTCGTGCGTAGATGATAAGGATCTGATACTTGGGTCGGAATGTCGTACCAAATGTAACGTTTAACTAATATATTGCCAGTTGGATCGACGAGAAGCTTTATTTCAATTTATTCATCACTGTACCGACAAACATTTTTTTTAACTAAGTAAATAAATTTACTTAAAATTATTTTTTTATACTGAAGTAAGTATTTATTCTGTTTAAAGAAAAATATCGAATTTTAAGTAAATCTATGTATTATATTAAGTAAATTAATTAAAATCATTATATTTTCTACATTCACAGAAAGATTTCATGAGATGTAGAATACTATTTATTAAATGAAATAATTGTTTTTGTTAAATAAGAAACCCAATTTTCTTCACTGTGAACATTACATCTTAATAAACATTTTATAGAATTGAAAGAAAATTTTTTAATTTTAAAATGATCTATTCTTTGACATTTAATAAATACTTAAATTAAAGCAATGCATGTTTTAATTTGTTTATTATTTCTTTAATTTAAGTTAATAAGCTATTAGGAGCCAGCTAACGAATAATTTTCTTGAGCAAAGTAATATTTTTTTCGGATTAAGATATTGTTTTATCAGTGTGGTGACTTTAAGTATATTCCTCTACTGGTTGATATATTATTATATTAAATATTAATCATACCTTTATATTATTTTAACTAAAATACTTGTCTCTCGCGCTATTTTTTCCTCCATATGCATTTACATGTATCCGCGGCAAAATTCTCCAGATTTAACTGTTCTATTGCTACCCACGACAACGTGCGATTTAATTTGTGGCTTTCAACGCCGCGAAGACGAGGCTTTGTAAAAACGTCCGATGGAAAGTGTACTTTGAAGACAGAGACGTATCCGTTCGCGTTGTCCTCGTGCGACATCCTTTTACACACAAACTTTACTAAGTATTTTGCAAGTAAACGCAGATTTCCGTTATCCTTTTATCTCATTGGGCACCGATGATTTTAGCTATCGCCTCCCCGTAATCATCCGCTTCCTCGTTTCTTCGTCCCCTCGCGGCCGGCGCCGTTCTCTCCTACTCTTCGGGTCATTTGGAGCGAGATCTTCCTCCACCGCGTGTCCTCCCGCCACCTCTTCGTCTTCTCTTCCTCCTACCATCCTGGCGACAAGGCTGTTCAGTCGTTACACGACCTTCTTCCAGGGTTACGTTCCTGCCAGTTTCCCCGCGATTTTGATTCTCCGTCACAGAGGAAACGAGCTCTTCCTCGGAACTGTTACGATCGTTCGGGGTCAGATGTGTTGCCACATCGAAAATCGCGTGTGGATGGATCGGTGAACTATCGCAGGAGCACCGGGAACCGCGAAAAGCCGAGGGGAGGCCTCGATCTGTCGGCGACTCACCCTTTTTCCCCACGTTATCGAGGTATAATGAACACTCTTCTGCGAACAATTATACGTCACACGTGTGCATATAATTGATAGCACAGCGTTTTCGGATGCGGTACGTTCAACGAGCTAGGTCCAACGACAAGATATTAAACGCGGAACTAATATATCTTTTAATTAACGCGGTATAAGTTCCAACGTGTGTTTATCATTTTCTTTTTATCGCTTATTTTACAACGCGCTGATGAAGACTTAGTAAGTCGACGCGTACACAACGTTTTATCTCGTCATATATGAATAAATTATACGCTTATTCATGATGTCACCTATTAGTGCTCGATATTAGTCTGTAGTCCTCCTTTGTTTGCGTATGGCAAGCTGTTTATTATATTCATTTATCTTCGATTCATTAAATTGACAAATAATTGATATAATTCTTCGTCTTGACTGTAGTTAAAATCCTTAAGGATATCAGGGTATCTATCATGTTCGGAATTGATTCTGGAATCGTTCGATTATTTCCTAGATTTCTATCGTGCTTTTTTTTAGAGGAAATGGGATAATTTCGAACATTTCCACGATAGGTACACGGAGAGAATTTTCTGAAAATCGTATAACCGCGGGACTGAGGAACTTTATGGGTTTCTTGAAATTTTACCATACGTTTTACTAATAAAATATAAATATGACGTACCAAACGTATAATATTTTTTGAGCATATCGATTGGTCGTAGAATGAAAGGTTTCGGGTCTCTAGAAATAATTCTACTTGTAGAAATTGATGCGCCTAAAAAGTTTATCGCAAGACAAATGTAACGTCACCCTTGGCTCGTACTAAAACGTACGGTAAAATTTCAAAAAACTCTCACAAAGTTCTTGCAAATGCCGTGTCGTCCCGCTATTACATAACTCTCGGGATGAATTTTTAAGGAAAATCCTCTCCGTGTACCCAGATCGTAATACAAAGCAACGCGATCTGGATCGTTTAGACAGACAAGGGTATCAATCTAAGGGTGATGTTACATTCGTCTGGCGACAAACCTTTTGGGCGTATCAATTTCTACGAGGTGAAAAATTTCCAGAGACTCGCGAGAACCTTCGTTGTGCGACCAATCGACGCGCATAAACAAAAATTTGTCATACGATAAACGTTAAGGACACTCGGACGGGTGTGACGGATCTTAAATCCAGGGCGGAACGAGACGCATGATTCGCGAGGCTCCCCCGTGCGAAACTGAAATTACACAATTCGGGGGCAAGAGCCCCGAAGCAGGGAACGAAGTGGGTCATACTGACCAACATCACCTGGCCCCGCGTCCCATTCACCGCGTCGGGAAATACCGAGGAGACCAGCGGGTCACGACCACGGACACGTTGTTGGCCCGTGTTATGAATGGTGAACGGCGTTAGACGATTTTTAACGGGCGAATACATGTCACCGTGCATGTCACGTTACTCGACCTGGATATTAAAGTCAGATAGGATTATCAAAGCCGCCGGGACAGCGGCGGACGGAGGAAAACGCGAGACGGATCTCCCGTGTAGAAAGAGAAAAGAAAGAGACGGCGCGCGATGCCGGAAGACGGGGGGGAGAGAGAGAGAGAGGCTGCCGAGAGACCCGTTATACATCGAAACGGAATTCCACTTGACGTAATATAGCCTGCTACATCCTGTACGTTACAAGTTCATCGGAATGTTCGCGTTCACGTGGACAAATTTGCATTTATCTCGGAGGCAAAACTCCCCTCGACACGCACTGGCCGTCTGCTCGCGCAGCTCGCGATCGGCTTCGGGCGAGCGGAACTCGTTTGGAGTAACGGCCTTACATTTATAATTAGTCTCTCGTCTTAGCTAAGACGACGCGTTTACAGTAACACTTCCGGAATTCTCGCGGCGTATCTGATAAGCCGATCTGGCCGCGAGGTAGACGGACGCGCGTACGCGCGGCGCGAATTTAATTGTGCCGCGTAAATGCTCGAGCTGCATATGGGTAGTGCGTTGCCTCTAACGTGTCTCTTTCGCCGCGCGATACCCGCATTTGAAATGGAGATAAGTATTATTACCGTAAAATACTGGTACAAGCGCGGAATGCTTGCGTGAGAAGACGAAACAAAAAAAAAACTTTTTCATGAAAAGGAAAGCCAGACGTCTGCATTGTGCAGACTGAGTGTTGCAAACTATTCGTGACGCCACTGGTGCCCGTTTCTACCGACGCGGTTTGGTTTCAATCTCGGTTCAACTTGCTTTGTACCAAGAATAAAGGCCTATTGTTGCCAGTGAATATATAATTAATCAATGTAGGAAATTAACAATCGACCCGACTGGCGAATTCGTAAAGCTAGACAGAGATATAGAGCAATGTAGGAAATTAACAATCGACACGACTGGCGAATTCGCAAAACTAAAAAGAGGTGTAGAACAATGTAGGAAATTAACAATCGAAACTGGCAAATTTTAATTAAAGAAATATATTGCGAAAAACATGACCTGCCAGAATGAGGTAATTCTTCGCAATAAATTTTTTTAATCCGAATTTGCCGGTTGTGTCGATTATTAATTTCACACGTTGCCTCATACCTTTTTCTAGTTTTAATTAGAAAACGATAAGAAGTAATTTGAACCGGGATCAAAGTCAATCCGCATTGGATAGAACAGGGCATGAGGTCGATTATCTTTTCCAGGCATCGTAAGAGATGCGGAGACGCCTGTGGACGCTTCTCGGCCTCCTGGCGTGCGCGTCAGGCGAGTACCTGATGGGCGGCCACCTGGACAACAATGCCGGGTCAAGGACCCGATCCGGCAAGATCGAGAGCTCCTCCGCGTCGAGGCGCGAGATACGTCTGGACGACCTTGACCTGGATCTCGTGGCGGCGGAGAGCACCGTTGCCGCTGTCGCTGGCGCCGAGACGTCGACCGGCGACGACGGTGACGTTCCGCGCTACCACGTCCCGTATCCTTTCGCCTTCAACGGCGGCAGGCCGTTCTCGCTGGAGAAGGACCCGGTGACCGGCATGATCGACTTCGAGAAGGCACCGCCGGTCAAGGCGCTCAACTACACCGGTCATTATCACGAGCGGGAGGAGAGCGAGGGCGACGATGTCGGTGGCGACCGGGACGAGGATCGGGGCGACGAGGAGAAGACAAGGCGCAAGGACGTCGACCACGACGTCAGGCCGAACGAGATCAACGCGTACCCGCCTAACTTCCACAATCTGCCCTTCCACTACTCGTCGGACAAGTACGGGAATGACAAGTACCCGTTGATCTCGAGCTCGTACGCCAACACGAAGGTGCAGAGCGGCGGCAACAGCTACAGCACGTACAATCACAGGCCGCATCATCCTGAGAACGATCTGTACGTGCGTCCCGTCAAGTACACCCACCCGGCGACGATGAGGACCAGCACGTACAGGACCGTGACCGCCGGCGATCTGAAGACGAAGGGAACGAGCACCGAAAGTCCGCCGACGACCGCGACCTTCGCATCGCCGGGCACGGCGAACTCGTCGTACACTGCGCCGACCAGGGCGCCCATGGTGACCACGTGGAAGCCGTCCGGTGGGTTTCACACGATCGACCGCGCGGAGATGGAAAACGAGAAGAATCTTCTGCCGATAGAGAAGCTGCACGCCTCCGGCGGCCACGCGGCGTCTCACCGAGACCCGGGCGACGGGACGACGGAGAAGGCGCAGGTCACCACTCGTTACAAGGACCAGCCGAACCTCAGCAATTTCGTGCTGTCGCACGCGAGACCCGAGGCGAAACCGGCGCAGAACGAGGAGTACAAGGATTCCTACGCCTACGAGTCGGACGGCGAGGGCGACGGCGACAGCGAGATCAGCGATTACTTTCTGTCATTCGGGGACTTGTTGAAGGAGGACGTCACGTCGGCGCCGTCCACGACCGCCTCCACCACGACGACCTCGACCACGACGGTCGCGAGCACCGCCGCGGTGGTGACCGCATCACCGGCGGGAACCACGACGTCGACGGTCGCGCCCCTGCGACCCGTGTCCTCCACGCCGCCCACGTTGCCCCAGGAAGACGCGGCCGCCAGCAAGCCGCTGCAATTCCCAACGATGCCGCAACAGCCTTTATCCCCGAGCAACGACAGGCGACAGGGCGTCACGGAGCGCTACGACCGGTACAGACCGAGCCCGATAATCAGGCCGGAGCCGGACAGAGTGGGACCGGGAGTCGCGGTGGAGAGCACGAGTAATATCGTGATACCACCGGACCAGGACACCGTGTCCTTCGTCCTGGGAAACCGCCAGAACGTCGACGGCGGCTACTACTCGGTCGGGACGGCCGTCGGGGAGAATCCTTACGGCGGCTCGGCCGAGACCGATCCTCTGGTCTGGCCGTTCCGCAACGACCCGCACGACTCCAGCACGAAGGAGGTGAAGCAAGAGCGTTTGCCCATCTCCGTCGCCGAGTTGAGTCCCGACCGCGTCAAGTGGTGGGCGCCCAGTTCCAACCCTCTGAAGGACAGCAACGAGCTCGAGCTGGCGCGGCCTCCGAGTCCGCTTGTCGCTGCCGCGGGCACGGCGGTCCACGACACGCGGAGCCCGAGCAAGGAAAAGGACTCCGGCTACGTTATTTTCCCGGACGACGAGACGAGGAACAAGAGCCCGTTGACGGAGGAGCACGTCGTGATCGTGAACGAGGCTGACGGAAGCGTTCGCGAATTACCGCCCAGGACGACGTTGACGGTGGCGAATAAGACGAGACTCAACGCCGCGGACGACCTGGTGGTCGGGGATCTACCGCAGCTCGCGGAGGACCTGGTGCCGCCCGCGGAGAGCTCCAGACCGCCCTCGTACTACTATCAGTACCAGTCCGACGCGTCGAGACCGAGTCACTCGAGGCCGCAGAGACTGCCCCTGCCGCCGCGCATCAAGCCGGGGCACTTGCCAGCTACCTCGCTGGACGCGGGGGTGAGGAAACGCCCGTACCCGCCGGACACGAAGCTGCCGAATATCCTGCCGCAGTTCCGACCCAATGCGAAAGCGTCGCACGGCCACCGTGGCCCGGACGTGATAGGGACGATGCCGGCCGGGCAAACCGGCGCGTCCACGAGACTTAGACAGCCACCGCTGCCGGCCCCTCCGTCACGGAGGCCACTGCCACCGCCGCCACCCTCGTACCTTCAGCGCCTGAACCCGCCGCCGCCGCCGATCCACGCGGTCAGACTGCCCTTCGCGCCGACCTCGAAAGTGGACGGCGCCGGCCCGCCTCACGAGACAGAGCCGACGATACGGAGACTCCGTCCCCCGCTCGGGGCGCCGTCCGTGTCGCGCGGCGGCCCGGAGGAGAGCTCGCTGTCCAACAGACAGGGCGGCGAAAGCAGGAAGGAGGATCGGAGCAAGAGCGAGGTCGTCGCGGACGAGCGGAGCGAGAGCGAGGGCTCGGAGAGATACCCGGAGGAGCCGCCGATGACGCCGCCGAGGCCGCCGCTGTTCCCGAAGCGCAGAACGGCGGACCCGCCGCGCGTCACGACCCTGCAGATGATACAGCACCACGGGGAATTCGGCGACGAGGACGACGAGGCGCGGCTGGAGGAGCCCGCGGAGCCCGTGCTGGCGCACGAGGCGGAACGCCGCAAGTCGGACGGTCACGACCCTTCGGTAGCGCCGGAGCAACCGGTGTACGTCGTGTATCCGGTCAACACCGCGGTCAACATACACCCGGACGACTCCAACGAGAAGGACGGCAGCGTCGTCGTGGGTACGCGTGGCCCCCAGCGGCCGCTACCGCCCGACACGTTGCTGCAGAACGAGCAGGACGACACGCACACCATTTACAACGGCAGACCCGTCGCCTTGGACTTCCCGTATCCGCTGGAACGACCCGACCCGTCGTCCGTCTTCCCCGTCGTCGGCGTAAAAGAGACGCCCGTGTTGATACCCAGCGAGCAACGACAGCAGCAGCAGCAACAGCTGCAGGCTGCGATCGCCAACGAGCGAGAGAGCGAGAAGAACGACGTGATCCCGTACTTGCAGGACCTGCCGCCGTATCGGAAGAAGAACGACGCGGCGATCTCGGTGACGCTGCACCGCACGGCGCCAAAAAGCTCAACGCCGACCGCGTCGACGTCCACCCCGACGCCGATCGCCTACGTCTACACGCCGACGCACGCCCCGTACCCGGCGCATCATCTCGACGAGGACTTGGAGGAAGATGACGCGAACGTCGACGCGAAGCAGACGGTGCTGCTGCCCTCGCAGCAGCCGTCCAGCTCCTCCAGCTCGGCGCCGGCGCCGCAGAACTTCATGGCTCCTTTCGTTGCCAGCATGAGCGCCGAGGCGCCGAGCAAGAACGGCTGGAGCGTCGTCGTCGTCGAGCCACCGGCGACGGCGGAGAGGAAGTCGGACGGCGACGGCGACGAGGCGAGACCCGCCGACTCGGAGAACGACGCGCAGACCGAGAGGAGCGATTTCGACGCCGACAACTTTAAGCCGCAGCTCTTCGGCGGTTTCAAGCCGCTCTATGAGTTTCCTACGGAGAACGCGGAGCGCCAGGACGTTGTCGACGCGGACGCCGAGATAAACATGCCCAGAAGCTCCAAGAAACTGCCGCCTATACCTGACAAAGGATAACTTGTTAAAGACACCTCGACCCTCTTCTCTTGAGCCTTGCTCTCGGACATTTCGCTCGCACCTTATTACTACTCTTCCCGCGTATATGTAAACGAAAACGCAGACGAAAGCGAAAACGAATGCGAAACGTGCGCGCACAAGCGAAGGGAACGAAGAGCGAATGTCTCTGCGCGCTGCTCGACGAAGAGATACTTTTCGTGGAAAAGAGAGCCAACTCGCACGGTAGAAGACTGTACTCCATTCTCACTCAGCTTATAATGTATTATTAATATATAAGAACGCGTCGCAATATAAGATAACATTTAATTTATCGCAATTAAATGAGACTAGCGTTTGTTAAGTTCCACCCTGCGGCAGCGTTAACATCGGCTAAGCGTTGGAATACGTAGAAAATATTGACGCACGTATCGCTAATTGTAAGTATAAACGTAGAGAAACGTTGAATAAAAATATTACTGTAAGTTTTTCACGGGCAATACCTTTGCAATGTTTTGCGCGATTGTGTTCATTGTGTTCAATAAGTGTTCCCGTTGGAAAAAATCCAAAAATTAAACCTTGTATACTTCCTTGCGTAATTTTCTACTAATATTTATATTATGTTACGAAATTTTATACCTCTTTGGTCAAATCATATACAGGGTGTCCCATTTTAACTTGGACAGTAAAATATCTCGAAAACTGAGCCCAGCAGACAAAAATGTTTCAGACAAAAGTTGTTTGGTTTCGAGGGGGCCATGAG